AAGATTTGTATTAATATCCTTGGAGATTTGATGGACAGAAAAACACACAACTGTATTAAACATCCAAGGACTTCCATTAAATACACTGATGACAATGGAATAACAGTCATAGGGAAGAATATCCTTGAGTCTCTAGATATGCCTTCCACGAACAGATGTCCTTAAATCTCTAACAAATGATTTATCAATTTGATGGAATATTATATAACCATTATTATTAAAGATAATAAAGCTATGGAACAGTCTTATATCCTAAAACATCTTAAGTACACATTTACATCTACATATGACTATAAAATACTAAATATAAGTGCAAAGACTTGGAGAAAATAAGAAATGAATATTTGGTACAATATTACGGACTCCTCCAACCATCTGTATGTTTACAAAGTAAATAAAAATCAGAAGGTCAAAAATGCAATGCCTCCTCTCTCTAAAGAACTATAAAACTCTCATCAGCACCTTGGTAATCACTTCATATTTATGGTCTATCCTAAACACACCAAAATTTGCTATATATTACCTTTCTGGCCAAGGTCACCTGGTAAAGGGGAGAAACAAAGTCCTGTCTGAGTAGTTTGATTAAGAGAGAAAAAAACGACTATTTTACCTCACAGCAAGGTGTCAGGAGGTTATTTTAACCAATAGCATGTTTTACTGCCATTGTCAAGTGTCAGATTTAACATTACTTTTTACCAAAATCAACAATTGTGTCCGATTTAAACCCAGAAAAATCATAAAATGCAAATAGACCATGTATAAATTACAATTTAAGTGACAAAGATGATACCAGTTTGGTCAACTTTGAATAAAAAATTTCATCTCTGTAAAAGGAAGAGATATAGATTCAAGGATATTCTGATACAGGCATAAGCCTTCTATTACTTACTTTATGCCTGCCGTTGAGCAATATATGGGTCAAAAGCTTGATAAGAGAACTCTGAAATTACTGGTCCTACCTCAAAATCCAAAACTGGTTTGGATTCTGTTAATATGATTATAAAAATTGCCCTTCACATTTAACTCCTTGCAGAAATTAATAAGCTGACCCTAAAATTCACAAGGAAATGCATAAGATCCAAAATGGCCAAAACAAACCAGAAAAAGAACAAATTTGGAGGACTCACACTTCCCAGGTTAAAAGTTACTTCAAAGTTTAGTAATCAAGACTGTGTGATAGTGGCATAAAGATAAACATATAGATGAATGAAACAGAATTGAGAGGATAGATAAATGTTTATAGACAACAGGTTTTTCAAAGAATGCCAAGAAAAGTCAATAGGGATAGAAGAGTCTTTTCAACAAATGGTTCCAGGACAACCAGATATCCACATACAAAATAATGAAATCAGATCTCTACCTTGTACAATATATGAAAATTAACACAAAATGGGTAGTCATTTGCAAAACAATACAAGTGGACCCCTAATTCATACCATATACATAAATTAATTCGAAATGGGTCATGGACCTACATATAAGAGCTAAAACCATAAAATTCTTAGAAGTAAGCAACAGAGTGCATCCTTGTGACCTCAGATTAGCTTCTTAGATATGACAAAAATAGAAACAAAAAAATTAGAATTTATCAAGATTAAAAATTTATTTGCTTCAAAGGACCTTCAAGAAAATGAAGAGACAACTATATATAAATCAGGAGAAAATATCTGCAAAAACATATATCTGACAAGGAACTTATGACTTAAAGGACACACAACTCAATTAAAAAAACCCCAATTTTTAAAAAGATTTGAATGACTATTTCTCAAAAGAAGATACATAGATGGCCAATAACCATATGAAAAGATGTTCAACATCATTAGTCATTAGAGAAATGCAAATCAAATCACAATGAGATACTTCTTCACACCAACTAGAATGGCTAAAATCAAAAGGAGACACATTAAAATAAAATAAAATAAAATTTAAAAAAAGGAGACACATTAACAAGAAGGGTGTGGAAAAAAGTGGAATCCTTGTGTAATTCTGGTAAGATGGTAAAATAAGCCAGGCACTTTAATAAACAGTTTGACGGTTCCTTAAGATACGAAGTTACCACATAACCAAGCAATTCCTAGGTATATATTCAAGGGAAGTGAAAAAATATGCCTGTATAAAAACCTATAAATAAATGTTCACATCAACATTAATGGTAATAGCCAAAAGGTGGAAACAACACAAATATCCATCAACTGTTGAACAGATAAACAGTATGTGGCATACTCATACAATGGATTATTATTCAGCAATAAAAAGGTATAAAGTATTGACACATGCTGCAACACAGATGAACCTTACAACATAGTGCTAAGTGAAAGTAGTGCATTTAATATGTATGTGCATATTTCCTTTAACTATTTCTCCTCTATACATTTTACACTCAACCACCCAAATACTATGTCCTCTGTAATATCTGCCCCATGACTGAAAATAAAAATCTTTTCCCCTTCCATGACACACTAGACTCTATCAGACCATTTCTTTCTTTTTTTTTTTTTTTTAATTTATTTATGACAGTCACAGAGAGAGGAGAGAGAGGCAGAGACATAGGCAGATGGAGAAGCAGGCTCCATGCACTGGGAGCCCAATGTGGGATTCGATCCCGGGTCTCCAGGATCGCGCCCTGGGCCAAAGGCAGGCGCCAAACCGCTGCGCCACCCAGGGATCCCTATCAGACCATTTCTTCCACTCTGCCTAATTATTACAGTCATCTACGGACATGTTCAGGGTTCCCTGCTTTCTGATGATAAGACTGTTGATCAATTCTGCATCTTTAATAAAAAGATGGCTTAATATATAAGGGTGTTCAGTGTTCTTTAAGGAATAAACATCATTACAATAAAAAGAACACAGACTTTACATCCATCCGACTCTTGATCTTAGCTCAGGTCTTGATCTCGGGGTTGTGGGTTTAAGCCCCACACTGGGCATGGAGCCTACTTAAAAACACACACACACACACACACACACACACACACACACAAAATTTAAAGTCTAAGAGTCCTTCATGTATTCAATGAATGGTTACTGGTCACCTATTTAGTTTGTGCAACTAAGCTCAAATCTAGATCTCCCAACACTTCACTGGTAAATTCATTCAATATCTGTATAATGTTGACCAAGTTACTTAAGCTCTAAATCTACTTCCCTTTCTAAATTGAATGTGCTATCAACACAAGTGTTTGAGGACTAAATTCAATATTATATTCCTTTTCATACATATCTTCAATAAATGCAATTTCCTTTTTTACTCCTTTCCTCAAAAAAATAGCTGAACACATTGCTTTTGGTCTATGAAAAAATGTAGTAGAGGATATATCCAGGAAAAAAAATGATCTCAAACTTTAAAGCAAGTTAATTTCAAATTTATAACATTATAAACCTCATGTCTTATTAGTAAAATTACCTAGAGTCTGAAAAGTAATGTTACTTAAATTGCAGGGCTCTCATTCTCACACTACAGTTGCTAGAAAATTACTTTATCCTAACCAAATCTGTTTTTCTTTTTCTTTTTTTTTTTTTTTTTCCAAATCTGTTTTTCCAAGAGGCTTAAATATCTTACAGGAACACTTTCTTAGGCAACAAATTTAGCAAACATACTAAGTCCTTATTCTCTGCAGAAGATACCGTACAGAAGATAATGCTTTATGTGTCAATTAGTTTCCAAATGAGATGTCCTCTATCTTTGAATTTCCATGCAAATTTTATTTATTTATTTATTTATTTAATTTTTTAAATTTTTATTTATTTATGATAGGCACACAGTGAGAGAGAGAGAGAGGCAGACACACAGGCAGAGGGAGAACCAGGCTCCATGCACCAGGAGCCCGACGTGGGATTCGATCCCCGGTCTCCAGGATCACGCCCTGGGCCAAAAGTAGGCACCAAACCGCCGTGCCACCCAGGGATCCCCCCCACCTGTTTTAAATTTTATTTATTTATTTATTTATTTATTTATTTATTTATTTATTTATTTATTTATATTTTAAGGCTTTATTTATTTATTCTAGAGAAAGAGGGAGAGCATGGAGATGGAACAGAGGGAGAGGGACAAGCAGACTCCACGCTGAGGATGGAGCCCAAAGCAGGTTTTATCTCTGGATCCTGAGACCATGATCTGAGCTGAAACCAAGAACCTGAGACTTAAACAACTGAGCCACCCAGGTGCCTCTCCATGAAAATTTTTTAATTTATCTTGTGGCACTCCCTCTTTGCCTTGCTTTATTCTTCTAAAACTACTATGAATGTGGAATTCTTGCCCATAGAAAATGGTATACTAAATGACTACAATCCTGAGGAAAATGATTTTATAGCATAAAACCAGGGCTATAATTTTGTGCCCACTGACCTAACCATCTGATTTCTGGGAATCACTTAAAGAAACAGTATCAAATTTGGGAAAACACACACACACACACACACACACACACACAGACACACGTATATGTGTATATATATGTGTGTGTGTGTATGTATACATACATATACATACGTAAAGATGTTACTACAGTGTAAATGAGAACAGAGTAAAACTGGATGTGACCTAGATTTTTTTTTTTAATATATACTTTTTTAAAGATTTTATTTATTTATTCATGAGAGATACAGAGAGAGAGAGGCAGAGACACAGGCAGAGGGAGAAGCAGGCTCCACGTAGGGAGCCCGACATGGGGGACCCGATCCCAGGTCTCCGGGATCACACCCCAGGCTGCAGGCAGCACTAAACCGCTGCGCCACCAGGGCTGCCCGACCTAGATGTTTCTAGTCATAAAATATCATATAGCTATTAATAATGTTGACGATGGTACAAAAATTTAACAAGGTATTATGAGAGATTAAAGCCAAATCAAAATTAGTTCCTAAAACATAAATATAAGAGGAAATATTTTTTGCAAAGTAGAAGGTAATAATCATGTTAGTGTGACAGATTCATGGGTATTTTTCTTTCAATTTTTATACACATATTATTTTCATAGTTAAAGAAATAAGCATACTTTTACCTTATCCCAGAAATCAACCAAAGCTGTAAAGTCCCATTTCTTAGAATATGCCACATTGTATTTCAGAATAGCATCCTATGGGAAAAACATAAACAAAACCTCATGATATAATCAAGTAAATTATCTGTGAATAGCCTTTCTCCTTTATGAACTACTTCCAGTAAACTTCTTAATCAGCATTAAGCTTCCTCCTGCCATTGGCTACTCCACATCAGTAGCGATGAACAAACAGAATACACACTAATTTATTATTCACTTAAGAAAAATGAGATTAGGAAGGTCAAGCAATAGGAAAAAAAAATCTTAACTCTTAACAGTTGCATTATAAACAGAGGTGATACACTCTCAAAATTGGATCTTGGAGATAAAAAAAATTTAAATATCATAATGATTATTGGCTATCAACAGGTTCATACTATACATGCAAATATATAGTGTTTTTGCAGTATTAAAATTTCATGGGAAGAGTAAATTAGGAAAAATGTCTAAAAGGCTTCTCAGGAGAGATGGAAATAATGACAAAGAGATTGATAAACACTGCCCTAAGGCATAAAATGGTCTTTTTCCCCTTATTTTCAGCTATTGTTATAAGCTACATATAAAAAGTTATCCTCCCCCAGCAGTTCACATAAATTATACATTTATGAAGGCAAGAAAAGTCAAAATAGCACGCCATCTACTGGTATAATATTTAACTTACTAGGCAGTACCGTATTCTTGGTTAACAGTGATAAAAACAAAACAGGCCCCAAATGGAGTCATTTATGCTAAGCCATACTTCACCAGAGACTTATTTTAATTACAATTTCAGCCTATCTCAAAAATGGAATCTTAAACCAGTCAATGAGGTATCACTTGGTCAGCACTAGTTAGTTCATCAGCCTGATAGAACTCTCCCATCCCCTAAAGGAAAATGACTGCCACAACCAATCTATTTTTTCCTAGTGTAACTTAGTTGCTTCCACTCCCTTCTGCCTATTAAAGTCTTTTGTTTTGTATAGCAGCTTAGAATGCCTTTCCTTCTGCTAGATAAGACCCTGCCTAATTCATAAATTGTTGAATAGAGCCAGTAAGATCTTTAAAATTTACTCAAATGAATTTTACTTAATACCTGAGTGGGGGTATGCATAAGACAATCTATTAGATATGCAGAAAGAACTATTACAGTTGACCCAGGAACAACACAAGGAAATGAAAATCTGTGTGTAACTTTTGATTCCCAAAAAACTTACCTAATAGCCTCCTACTGACCAGAGCCTGATAACATAGTCGATTAACACATATTTTGTATGTTAAATGTATTATATACTGTATTCTTACAATCAGGTAAGCTAGGTAAAAGAAAATATTAATAAAATTATAAAGAAAATACATTTATAGTACTGTATTATCTAAAAAAGTCTGCACAGGAGACTGGCGCAGTTCAAACTGGTGTTGTTCAAGGGTCAATTGTATTTAAATTTTATTTCATCCTTTTAAATTTCTATTTTGGTTATATTTTATGATGTATATGTTATATTACTAAAGCAATAAATATAGAATTCACAAGCAACTATCTATATTTATAATATACATCTTCAATTTTTTTTTACTCAAGGTGTAAGTTGAAAAAACACTGTTAGATTACTATAAACCTTCCAAATTTCCTCATAATTGAATAAGTTTTTAATTGAATAAGTTTTTAAAAATTAACTCTGTCTGAAAAATCCTTTGTGCCATATAACAATCACCAAGCACCTAGATTAAAAAGTAAACCAACAATGTATACTATTTACTTGGATATCCAAGTTCCTTCAAAAATGAAAAGCATCAATCATAAAATAATATGGCAAAAAAAACCTGTTATTTTTCTCACAGCCACAATATAAAATTTTCCATTAAGAGAGAAATTATTTTAAGGATTTTTTTTTTCTAATTACTGGTATGTGATTTCAGAACCTCATATGAAGTATTAAATAGCAACATCAATAGGTAAAAGGACAAACAATGCATACACTGCAACATACTGCTGATACACTCAACAACATTGATGAATCTCAAAAATGTTCATTCTGAGCAAAAGAACCCAGATACACTAACATACATACTAGGTGATTCCATGCATGTAAAATATAAACTAATCTACAGTTAAAAAACAAAGAAAAACAGGAAGAAAGAAAAAGAAAAAAGCAAGTCAATAGTTAGTTGCCTGGGGACAGTGCAGAAAAGAGGAATCAGTCAATTGTAAAGGAGTTAAGAGGAAGCTTTGAAGGTGACAGAAATGTTCTGTACCTTGATTGTAGGGAGGCTTCATGGGTATATGCAAATGTTGAACTTCATTAAATTATATACTTTAAAAGCCTGCGTTTTCTTTTTTTACATGTAAATCATTCCTCAAAGTTGGTAAGGAAGAATATTTTACAGTCTAACCTTTACACTCTAACTCTTTAAGTGGATTTTATAATTAGCATTAATTCCTAACTAACATTCACTTTTACTTTATCTTCAAGTCTGAAAAGTAGCCTACCACAAGGTCTCCTATCATTAGAAAAACTGGATGCTATTCTGTATTCTCAGCTATCAACTTTAATTCATTATTCATAGTAAGCACAATTAGTTAAAGCACAAAGAAGTACATTCTTTGCAAATTACCAGACACATCAATTATAGAAATATTACTCCATAAATGGACTTTAGGGGACACTACTCCTTTTTTAAACTTTTAACATCTCTAATCCCGCTTAACTCAATATCAAATAAAAGCACCAAAAGGATTATTATATTCAGTAAGAGGGACTTAATGTTCCCCCCCATTGTGTCCTTTCAGCAAAAGAAATAATTACCAAAAGCAGAAAGAAGAAAATCTCTGATGGATTATCCTGTTCTGTTGAACCTACCATAAATTAAACAAGAAAAGGAAATTCAGAGTAAAACAATTACCCCTTCTTAGTCACTGGCTCACTAACGAATTGCTAAAAGGGTGAGTAGACAAGGTAATTTAGAACACTGATTATTCTGTGTTTATGTTTAAGAAAAAATATGAAAAATTTCAATAATCCTGCTTATAAGGCCATAGAACCTTAGACAGTGTTTCTCAAAAGGAGTATAGATAGTATTCTTGGGTGTCCTGGTTCCGTTTTTTTTAAGTTTTAATTGTGGTTTTGGATACAAAGGACAAAAGACAACACAGTGTAGGAATGAAGCCTGGTACTTTAAACAGATAAAAATGGTGAAAATTTTGAGCCACCATAAGATATACTGCAGTACAAGGCTGCCAAATTCTGCAGAACCTGAATCAAAGTGCACATTATCATATTTATTTGCAAGCTGATGTTCTCCATACAGATTCCATCTTTGCATCCACCAACATCCACCATATGTGATTAATAAGTAGTAAAAATAAAATGAAGAATTTTTTTTCTTTATATTCTTTAAAGTTTTTCAGCATACTACCTTGAGGGTCAGATCAGTGATTAAAAAACTTTTATGCAAAAAAGGGATACTGAATGTAAATTGTTTCCACTGTAAAAATGAACACAATTCAAATGATGGTTCATAATGCTTAAAATGGAAAAAAATCAAATTGATATAGCTATAAATATAAAGAGTTTAGTTTTGTTTGTACATATACTACTATACTAAAAATAAGGAAATTCTAGCAGACCCTGAGAATTTCTTCCATTTAAAAGGAGTACATTATAAGATTGAGAAATACTGTCTCTAAAGAATGAAATTTCAAAATACATTACGGCACAACATACTAATGTTTTTCATATAGAGGAAAAAAAGACAAATGGGAGTTATAGAAATATATAGAGCTTAAGGATAACTTAAGTATAAATAGAAAAATAGTATAAAACCTGAGACACTAACACAACAACTTAAGTCTCTCAAAGCAAATGAAACTCATTTTCACACAAATATAGAAAAATCTGTTATTGTTATAAAAGTTCACACAGCTATAATGCCAAAAATAAACATATACTCACCCATATTTTAGATATTAGAAAAACAATCTAATGATTGCTCTTATATTCTTAAGTGAAATATTCTTTAAAAAAATCAAAAAATAAATTGCCAAAATGTAAGATTAATAAATAATTAGACTGCTAGAAGATATATTAACAGCAATACAAAACAGCATGTTTAATGTATATTTTAATCATTAGGAAACTCTGTTCCCTTTGGGCAAATATTGCTAGTCATAATTCTTTCCTCATTTACTTTTAAAGACATTTCAGAAACATGATAATTCTAAAAAATAAAGGAGAAGCTTGTTCTGAAGGAAATTGGATGGGGAAATCAAGAAACAAAGGTTTTATTCCAGGTTCTCCAAATCATTCTGTGTGGCTCCAGGCAAGTCATTTACAACTCTCAATTCTTCTACTCCTTTGCTAGTGATGGAGTGGAAACTAGGAATGTCTCTTAAGAAAGTTACTCAGGAAGCAAACACTTTGCATGCAAATAATGCTGTTAACCTGTGTCTATTAAAGATCAAAAAATGCCTTTAGGGAGACACAAGGCCCCCATCTAAGAACTACAAACCAGAAGCAACAATAGCAAAATCAACTACCTTCAGGTTTTGGGGTCGTGTAAATTTGTTGAGAAGTGCAGTCTGAATGAGCTCCCACCGGCTCCCTGCAGTTCGCTCACCATTCTTTAAGGGAAAGGAAAAACAAATGAAATTATGCTACGCTTTTTTGGATCACAGAATCAGAAGTCAAACAAGCACATACTAAATTTTCAGAGACTAAAAGAACATCTATTTTATGCTTACCTCATCTTCCACAGGGTACAAGTTTTGTTCTGAACAAGGCATCTTAACATGCTTGTTGTCCCACAAATCTTTGAAATGTGTTGGAAAAGGTTTAGGAACTTCTCCTGCTCGCAAAAGGTCTACCTGAAAGAGAGGGAAACAAGGAAACTGTAAGTGCATAAACCCTAAGCATACTTTCTACAAAATAATACAAAGAAAGCAGCCAAAACAAATGGTATTAAAATGCAGACCAGCTCTTCCATAAGAAATCTCAGAAGTTTTCTCCAGCTGTTCCTGCTCCTTATCTCCAGTTGATCAGTTTCTAAGTAATCATGTTTGCTCATTCCACCTTCATCACATCTAGGTCCACCTTACTGCTTGCCTTCTATTCCTCTCATAACTCCCGCGGTCCCCAGACACAATCATCCTCCATAAAGCCCTTATCCCTACTTGGGAACAATCTTAATCTTTCTAATGTATTCCCAGGCTCCTAATCCTATAATGGCTCCCCTCTGCCCATAGTCATCCCAAATGATGTTCCCAGTTTTTAACATCCTCTCTTACCCAAACACTATCTGGTTAAACATCTATTCCGACCTTCAACACTTGGCTTAATTTTCATTTCCTCTAAGAAGTCTTCAAAAACTTTAGGGTAGTTTATTCCCTCGTTTTATTAAATCATTATCACATCAGAGCTCACCTGTTTTTCCTTCTCCCACTAGACTCTAAATTTCTTGAGAATAAAAACCATATTAATTGTGGATTTTCAATATTTATGACAGAGCCTGGCTTATATTTTTGAATGTTTATATGTACTTATGCATAAATAAAAATATATACATATACTGCTTACAATAGATGTTAAATAAATGAGGAAGAGGATATTTAAAACATGGACGTTTTACCTTTTGCCTATTCTGGACATTTTCTAGAAATGGAATCATACAACATATCAAACTCAACACCCAAAAAACAATCCAGTACCGAAATGGACAGAAGACCTGATCAGACATTTCTCCAAAGAAGACCTACACAGAGCCAACAAGCACATGAAAAAATGCTCCGTATCACTTCTCATCAGGGAAATACAAATCAAAACAACAATGAAATATCCCTCTACACCAGTAAGAATGGCTACAATTAACAAGACAGGAAACAAAAAATGCTGGCAAGGATGTGGAGAAAGGGGAACCCTTTGTACTGTTGGTGGGAATGCAAGCTGGTGCAGCCTCTCTGGAAAACAGTGTGGAGGTTCCTCAAGAAGTTAAAAATAGAGCTACCCTACGACCCAGCAATTGAACTGTTGGGTATTTACCCCAAAGATACAGAAGTAGTGAAATGGCAGGACACCTGTACCCCAATGTTCATAGCAGCAATGTCCACAATAGCCAAACTGTGGAAGGAGCCAAGATGTCCTTCAACAGATGAATGGATTAAGAAGATGTGGTCTAACATATACAATGGAATATTACTCAGCCATCAGAAAGGATGAATACCTACCATTTACAACGACATGGATGGAACTAAGGGGTATTATGCTGAGTGAAATAAGTCAATTGGAGAAAGACAATTATCCTTTGGTTTTACTCATATGTGAAATATAAGAAACAGTGAAAGGGACAATAGGTAAGGGACTACAGGGAAGCTGGGTGGGGAAAAATTAGAGAGGAAGACAAACCATAAGAGACTCCTGACTCTGGAAAACAGAGGGTTGCAGATGAGGAGTTGGGAAGGGGGATGGATGACGGGCATTAAGGAGAGCATGAGATGTGATGAGCATAGGGTGTTATACTGTATGTTGGCAAACCGAAAATAAATAAATAAATAAATAAATAAATAAATAAATAAATAAATAAATAAATAAAATGAGGTCTTTAGGTGGGTTCTAATCCAGTATTACTGGTGTGCATGTAAGAAGAGAAAATGTGGACATAGGTATCTGCACCAATTTAAAGTTTCAAAAAAAGAAAAAAAAAGTTTTCTCTCTATCCTCATGAGTGAAAAAATTTTTTTAAATAAATTAATTGGGCAGCCCGGGTGGCTCAGCGGTATAAGTTTTACTTATTCTAACATCAATAAATGACAATGAGATTATGAAATACAAAATCTGAAACTGGGAATTAAGAATGACAGCTAAAGCTTATACAACCTTCTACTTAATCTACATTTATAGCTCTTACACAGTATTAAGAAAATCCTACTCCGACACCTAAATACTTGCAAATGATGATGTTTTTTGTTTTTATTAGTTTCAGAGGTAGAAGTTAGTGATTCATCAATTGCATACAACACCCAGTGCTCATTACATCAAGTGCCTTCCTTAATGGCCATCCCCCAATTATCCCTTCCCCCAACCCACCTCCCCTCTAGTAATCTTCAGTTTATTTCCTAGTCTAGTGTCTCTTATGATTTGAGCCTCTCGCAATTTTCATCTTATTTTTCCTTCCCTTCCCTTTTGTTCATCTGTTTTGTTTCTTAAATTTCACATGAGTGAAATCGTATGGTATTTGTCCTTCTCTGACTTATTTTGCTTATCATAATACCCTCTAGTTCCATTCATGTGGTTGCAAATGGCAAGATTTTGCTCTTTTTGGTGATTGAGTAATATTCCTCTGTGTGTTTTCGTGTGTGTGTGTGTGTGTGTGTGTGTGTGTAGCACATCTTCTTTATCCATGAACTGTCGATGGACAATAATGTTTTTAAACTGTTATTTTGAAGTTTAAGAATATTCTTCAGTGTTTTTAAACAGCAGTGGTGAGAGAACCTTAGTGCTATGGTCTGCACTAAAATGAGTTCTCTTGGTAAAATCTGCTGATTAAAATATATTAAGCATTTTCATATTTGTGTGTGTTAGTTCTTTTATTACAGGCTTTTCACAGTTAAAAATATACTTTAGAAGAACAAGATGAGTCAAATTTCCTAAGAACCCCTGAACCACTTCCACATAGCACAATTTGATCATTACTGTGTCCTTTTTTCATCTCTTATCTGAGCTCTTACATTACTTTTCTCTGTTGTCAGTGGATCCTCACTTCCACAAGGCTGTCTGATTAATCCTGCTACAGCATAACCATTGTGTAGACAGACATTTTAACAATTTCCAATACCTATAGACTTAAGTCCAATTCCAAACACCTGAAGTCCTCTATGATATAGATCCAATTCACTTGTCAAGTCTTGTCTTCCACCATTCCCCATCCAAATTCTAAGCAAACTATTTTCCATACTAACTCCCCCTTAGAGTTAGCTCATCTTTTTTTCTTTTTAAGATTTATTTATTTATTTGAGAGATAAAGAGCGAGTAAGCATGGGGGTGGGAGAGCAGAGGGAGAGGAAGAGAGAGAATCTCAAACATATTCCCTCCTGAGCACAGAGCCCAATTGAGGGCTCAATCTCACAACTCTGAGATCATGATCTGAGCCAAAATCAAGAGTTGGATAGTTAAGTGACTGAGCCATCCAGGCACCCCTGTGCTCATCTTTTAGAGCTCAGCTCAAACCCCACCCTGTTCCATGTTGCTTCTACCTCTAACTATGATAAAGAATTCTATACTTAGGGTAGCCCGGGTGGCTCAGCGGTTTAGCGCTGCCTTCAGCCCAGGCTTGATCCTGGAGACCTGGGATCGAGTCCCACGTCGGGCTCCTCAGCGTGGAGCCAGCTTCTCCCTCTACCTGTGTCTCTGCCTCTCTGCCTCTCTCTCTCTCTCTCTGTGTGTGTCTCTCATGAATAAATAAATAAAATCTTTAAAAAATAAACAGAATTCTATAGTTAAAAAAACATCTAGACTAAGTTGTACAATAAAAGATTTTAAGTAATTCCTGTGAAATCTAATACAGAGACTAAAAAATGAGATGACTATTTAAAACTACTACCCAATGAGGGAAAGAAATCTAAAATTGGATTATGAGGGGTGCCTGGCTGGGTCAGTTGGTAGAACATGGGACTCTTGATCTCAGGGTCATGAGTTCAAGCTCCATGTTGGGTATAGAGATTATCTTTAAAAAAATCTTTAAAACTGGATTATGGTGGGGTACTGGGTGGCTCAGTCAGTTAAGCATCTGCCTTTGGCTCAAGTCATGATTCCACAGTCCTGGGATCGAATTCCACATTAGACTGCCTGCTCAATGGGGAGCTGGTTTCTCCTTCTCTCTCTGCCTATGTCTCTGCCTGTCTCTCTGAGTCTCTCATGAAAAAATAAATAAAATCTTAAATAAAAAATAAAAAAGAATTTAAAAAAAATTGGATTATGGTGAGAGTTGCCTAACTCAGTAAATTAATTAAATATCACTGAATTAAGTGAGCACTTAAAATGGGTAAACTTTATACACTTCAATAAAGTTGTTTCTGCAAAAAAGAAGCTACAGAAAGTATAAAGTGATTACCAGGGGTTATTAAGAAATGGAGAGTTATAGTTTCTGTGTGAGATGATGGAAATTTTCTGGAAATGAACAGTGGTAATAATCGTACAATATTGTGACCGTACTTACTGCAATTGAAATGTATGCTGAAAAATGGTTATACAATAGCAAACTTTATATTTTGTATATTTAACCACAATTTTTAAAAATGAGGTTTAGAGATGTTAAGCTTGAGACACCTTTGGGACAGTAATGGTGATGTCTAAAGAATCTGAAAAGCTCAGAAAAGAGGGCAAAATTGGAGAACAATTTCAGGATATCGAACTACACAACTTTGAACTTTAGGGACTAATCACTACCTAATATGTAGTGGATACTCAGCAAACACTATTAATTGACTATAAAACAAACAAAAAAAAACTAGTAAGTTTTTAGAAAAATGCTAAAAAAGTCAATTTCCTTATCAGCTGACAAAGATTCATCTTATGGATATATTAAGTGCTATATTAAGTAAGCTATCATTATTTTTCTCCAACCTTTAGACTTCTTAGTACTTTATATATCCAGAAAAGAGAAGGAGTTTCTATATCTTGATGTGTTTTTCATGTTAATAAGTATCATAATAAATCAAGACATAAGAGTCTTTTCTCTTTATAGGTAAGAAGTAATAACTACCCGAATAGTTACTGTGTGATTGGCAGATGGTCTCAGGAGAGGGAGCCGAATCCCACACCTAGGCATTCTTCTCATCTCCTCAATAGGAGTTCCAAGCCATTTCTTATCTGGAGAAAGGTGAGGTGGAATGTATTTAAGTATCTTCCTTTCTGTCCTTTGATGCTTGAATTCACATTGTTCTTTTCTAAGATTAAAACAAATGTTTAAGTCACAAATCACTTACTACTTAAGTTTCATTAGATATACAAGTACAAAACTTACCCAGAATATTATTGTTTAAAATGTGCTAAGGGACATTTTACCTGGGTGGCTCAGTCTGTTAAGCATCTGCTTTCGGCTCAGGTCATGATCCTGGGATCAAGCCCCGTTTTGGGCTCCCTACTCAGTGGGGAGTCTGCTTCTCCTCTCCCTCTGCCGGTCACCCCACTCTAGTGTGTGTGCATGCTCTCTCTCACTCTCAAGTAAATAAATAAAATCTTTAAAAAAAAAAAAAAGTACCAGGCTTCTCTTTCTCCTTGGTGTTTATAATCAAAAGAAAAATTTATAAAACTTATGGTAAAGCTAAAAAGCTTACTTTCAAGTCTGTGGAAGGAATTTCTAAACACAGATATCACCTTCCAAAAAACAGGCCACGTAAGAATATGAGCAGTGCCAAGTCATTATTCATAGTATCAGCTACTTCCCAGGTTTCTAGACAATAATTTTTGACAAAGTGAACTTGTTATGGCACACATGATAGAAATTATGGAGAGTAAGCTTTAAGATTCCACATGGGCTAACTGCAAAAATGTAAGCTTTATAATCAGACAGACTGGGGTTTAAGTCCCAGCATTACCACCCACAAGTTATATTTTCAGTGAATTCTTACTCAAACTTCAGTTTTCTCATTTTTAAAGTGAGTACAGTAACGCCTGCCTGCGTATCAGAGCATTAGAGAAAATGCAGTATACAAAGGCCTAGAAAAATGGATAAACAGAAGCCACTGTCAACCTAGTATTTTGGTATTCTGATAATCCCCGCAAACTTCAGAAAGAAGATCATAAAACTAAAAAAAAAAAAAAAGCCGGGATCCCTGGGTGGCGCAGCGGTTTGGCGCCTGCCTTTGGCCCGGGGCGCGATCCTGGAGACCCGGGATCGAATCCCACATCAGGCTCCTGGTGCATGGAGCCTGCTTCTCCCTCTGCCTGTGTCTCTGCCTCTCTCTCTCTCTCTCTCTCTGTATGACTATCGTAAATAAAAAAAAAAAAAAAAAAAAATTTAAAAAAAAAAAAAAGCCAATTAACAATATTTATTTAATCCTTGTTTTCTGTTTCTGGTCTTTTTGAACCTAGGTTTAAATTCACCATAAACAATTAACAGGCAATACAACTATTTCTTTGCTTCAGTATCAACCATAACTTTGTTAAACTCTCTTACAAAATTATGAAAGATACATCACACTATTGGAGATATTCTTGTTGAAAAACATTACCTTTTGTCCTCTGCTTTGGGCATTCTCATGAAATGATCTGTGATTTTAGAATCCTTTTTCCCATGTTGCTTAGAATTCCTGCATTCTACATTCAGGCTAGAAGTACTTCCAGATGGTTTGGCATTTAAATCATTCATTCCACTGTGAGTCTCTCCTCCTTCAAATTGAAAATGTAATCGAATTTCACCTCCTTTAGAAGACCGTCTCCTCAACTCAGTGTCAGCTTCTCTTGCTTGGAACCTTGAAGATTTACTTGCTGTTTGAGAGGAATTGCTATCTTCTTGCTCATCAAAACCTGGGCTTGTCTCTTCATCTGCTTCTGAGTCCTGACAACTATTTTTGGAATTATCTACATCCATTGGTGATTCAGGTTCACTTTCTTTCTCAAATGGAGGAGAATTTCCTAAAGTACTTTCTTGTCTACTCAATTTGTTGGCATTTTTCAGTTCAGTAGCAACATCCTCAGAGCCGATGTCTGACAAGGGACTCTCTGGCACCACATCTATCTCTTCCTGCTGACAACCTGCACAGTCCTCTACTGGATGGCAAGACTTGGTGCACTTCTGGTGGCTTCTGGTTTCTCTGGCCTGTTCACCTTCTGTGGTCTGCTTTGCATTTTTAAAATTTACAGGTGTCAAAAATTTTTGGTTATCTCTACTTTCCTCACTATCTGTATCACTGCGATCATCATTTTGGGGTGACTGAGCAACGTTAGCATTACTGAACCGCTCTGGTACCAGAGTTACTGTCGAAGGTTCACTTTCTAAAAGCAGCTCTGTATGCTTCCCTTCATTTTGCCACTTACACATAGCTGCAGTCTGATGCTGGCTCAAATATTGTGTACTTTTTTCAACAGATGATTTATCAAGACTTAGCTGAGAAACATTTTCTAATTTTTCCACACTATGTTGATAAAAGTTATCTTTTTGTACAGAACTCATCATGGATTCTACTCTTGTATTGTTGTTTTCTTTACTATGTAAACTACAACAGAATAGAAAGAACTAATGAGACAATAGAATTTACGATACAATAGAAAGAATTTATGGTATAAAAAATATCACTTATTCAACCCCTTTCCCACAGTGTTAGAGCAATAATTAAACTACTTGCAATTACCTAAACACAGTCTTTCATAACTCCATGACTTTGCACATATGCCTATTATCCCCTTTTCCCAACTCTATGCCTGGGAAACACCTGCCCTTCCTTTAAATGTTAAACTTCACTCACCTCCTGGCAGGCCTTCCTGCAATGGTAAAGCTAATTCTTTGTTCTATATGCTAATCACCACTGTTCTCTGTTTATACCTTTATTGTCTTATTTATCACACTATGTAATAATCATGTGTTTTTGCATCTGCCATCAGTATACTATAAGCATCTTAGAGACTCTGTAGGTCTCTTTCATCTCTGTAGGTCAAGTATATAGAACAGACTCTAGCATTTGAGAGACTAAAAAATTATTATCTATAAACTGAAAGAATAAAGAAAAATGAGAAAGCAAGGAGAAAAAGTAGCATGAAGCAAGATAAAACATTCATATACCATGTTACTCATTTTTCTATATAGGCATGTATACCTCTATACCTTTCTGATTCAGTTGTCTTGATTCCTTTAATGTCCATCCAACTGGTAATAGTCTTTTGTTTGAAAACTGTAAAAAAAAAAAAAAAAGACACATACCAAAACAATTATGTTTATGCATACCTGCCTTCAAAGAAAAAAATACCTATAGCAGCATTTATACATGTAAGGCATTGTGCTAGTTTCTGTGAATTAAAGAGATTAATCAATCATTCCTTCCACACTCAAGCATTAAGAGATTAAACAGAAATACAAATACAAATATAAATGCATTTGGCACACAGTGGAAAGTGACAGGCCCCTGAAAGAGCTGGTACGACCTAATGGATACAGGCTCTGAAATCAAATCACCTAGTTTCTAATCCTAGTTCTCTCAATGGATTCCTATGTGTCTTTGTGAGGGATCATTTTTCTGTTTCTCAGATTCCTTATTTGTAAACCTCCAAGTTAACAGTATCTATCCTGGGGTTATTATGAGGTGTTTAAGGCCCAATCTGGTATACACTAAGTAAATGTTGATTCATAACTACGTTTCGTATTAAAAAGGATCCTGATAAGGAATTAGGTATTTCCAAGAAAATACTATTTTAGGGAATTGGAGTAAGTGGGACAATCTGATAAACAGATTGAACTGTTCCTTGAAAATAAACATGTAGTCACATAAAGGGAAAATTGTAAGGCACCAATGGCAGGGAAATATAAAGAACTTAAAAAGAAAGCAATAGGGGACGCCTGGGTGGCTCAGTGGTTGAGCAACTGCCTTCGGCTCAGGTTGTGATCCGAGTCCTAGGATTGAGTCCCACACTGGACTCCCCACAGGGAGCCTGCTTCTCCCTCTGTCTATGTCTCTGCCTCTCTGTCTGTGCCTCTCATGAATAAATAAATAAAATCTTAAAAAAAAAAAAAAAGCAACCGAAAATATGATTGAAAAGTCAGCTAGGACCATATCACAGAGGTTCTTGAATAACCCACAAAAAGAGGTACAAAAAAAGCCTCAGGTCACACTCAGAGCTGTATCCCAGAACTCAAATCTAGGAGGGTCCCAGTCATACATGATACATACCCTGGAGGGCAAATCTGAAGGGGCAAGAAGGAAGATTCTTTTTTTTTTTAATAAATTAATTTTTTATTGGTGTTCAATTTACCAACATACAGAATAACACCCAGTGCTCACCCCGTCAAGTGTCCCCCTCAGTGCCCGTCACCCATTCACCCCCACCCCCCACCCTCCTCCCCTTCCACCACCCCTAGTTCATTTCCCAGAGTTAGGAGTCTTTATGTTCTGTCTCCAAGAAGGAAGATTCTAATGGTAGAAACTAGAAAGGAAGTTACTGGTCTAGGTCAGTGGTTTCCAAACCATCTGAATCATTAGGGGGCTGGTAATTAATGGATCCTAGGGCCAGGCCCCAGACCCACTGAATCAATGTATGTGTGATGATGGGAGTCACTAGGGAAGCTGGAATCTGTATTTTTTCAAAAAGTTATTTTGATGATCATCAACCAGGTTGGAGAACTAATGGCCAAGGACCAAAACTAGTCATTGTAAGAACAAAAAATAAAAGTTGAGAAATGAGTCATTACAGACTTTACAATGATAGAAGTTAAGGGTGACACTAGGCTTTAAGTCTGAGACTTGAAAGATGGTCACAGCATTAACTAAAAATGTAGACTATATATAAGACAACTGGATTTAGGGGAAAATATGATTAGATCAATTGTGAACATACCAAATTTGAGAAGCCAAAGAGATAATTCTATCTATCTAATTAGGTAGATAATTTGTATCTAAAATGACCAGCAGACAATAGCAAAAGTATAATTGATGGCTCAGTAAAGATGCAATATAAATAAGTGCAATCCACAATTTACAAAATCATTTAAAACAAGCATGCTTTCAAAATTAACTGTACTGCCTATGGATTAAATGTATATAATATCTTAGTATAAAAATATAAAATTTTAAAGATTCTCTACTATTCTCCAAGCTGCAATGTAAAAATCTATGCACCTTAAGTCACAGACTTACTCTACTCTTATTTATGTCTCCTCAAACACCATAACATGAGCAAAACGGATGCTGTTCCAAATACACGAAAATCAACAGCTTTATCACTGTATTTGAGCGCCATATAATTCCTTACATTCCTTACATAAAATGCAAAGAACTGCATTTTAAAAAACATTCCAACTAGTAAAAATCTTTGATCAGCATTTTCAAAATAGTTTCTATCACAAAAAAGTAATTATATTTTATATTTCTTGTTAAATACCACTATTTCAGTGACTTAATTAATAGAAAATCAGGCTTGAGAAAAAATTAGCTTCAATCAGAAGAGGGTGAACCACTTAATTTCAAGGCTTTTCAGTAGTTCTTTCTCTAATTTCATTACATCAAACACAAGAGAAAATCCTCAAATTACCCAGCAAGGAACCAGAAATTCACTTTTTGAGTCAGTGTGGAGTTCAAAACACCGTTCTCCATAAATATAAGGATTAGTGGTATGCAATCCAATAATGCACATGAAGCATAGCACTACAAAGGCAAGTTTGTACAGAATCGAAAGACTGCATACAACATTATTTCATAAGAAATTATGTAGCGTTCTCCTGCAGTTCTGAAACTGAGAATGTGTTCTCTTGCCAGCTTCAAGTTTCCTACTATAATTCCTGAAGCCTCTGAAAAGGATAAAGAAGGAGGAACCAGAAATAAGGAACTGGTATTTCCTGATAACAAGACATTCTTCTGAGAGTCCTATTTTTCTTTTCAATACCACTACTTCTGGCTTTCAAAGGTTTCTTTTGCAACACGCCACAAGACTGCTTTAGAACTTTACCCCCTTATTCCCGAAATGAACATAAAACTATGCTTCCCATGTTACCTGGTAACTTCTTTCTTTTTTACTAGAAATAATCACAGCAAACAAAAAGAAGAGCAATAAGAGGTGATAAAAATGATACAAGATCTGGAGTCAAACCAGATCTTGGACCAAAATCTTCACTCGGTCGCTTACTAGTATTTTTATTCTTTGAGCTTCTATTTCCTCACATATAAAATAGGTTTAACAATAAATATCTCCTGCAAGACTTATGTAGATCAATGAGAAAAAATAGTAGTGTTCAGTCTCACAAAGCAGAAACTCAACAAATGTATTCTCTCCAACACTTCTATCCAATCTCTTTTTCACTGAGATTAGTAGTTCTCCAATTTTATTTTAATTTCACATCATTTACACGTAATCTCATTAGTAACATCACTCAGTAACCAGTGCATCTCAATGTTCAATGAGCAAATCAGTTAGGGCTATTGATACACGCAAATGACACAAAAAGCTTTGAAATTCACCTGCATTATAAAGGAAAACCTAAATTTCACAAAAAGCCCCCCCCCCCCCAGCAAGATAAGGTATGGGAAGGGTATGGTGAGATCAAAGAGTGATGGACAATGGGAATTTTGAGATGAAGAAAGAGGTCTGAAAATGCTTTTGACAGCTTTGAGGCTGAAGGAAAGATATGGAGGAAGGAGGACAAACTGGATCCCCCACCACCAGTGTAATCACCACCACCCATCCTACACTTGGACCATGCCTGGAGCAGGGAGAGAAACTCTAGGTAGTTATAAAAAGCAGAAGAGGAGCTCCCATCAGAATGTGAATAGCACCTTGAATTTTGCCTGTATGCAGATTTGCAGATTTCAACCAGTATAAGAAATATACCCAGGAAGGCAAATAACACAAAATTTGAAGATCTTGAATGAATGAATAAATGAATGCCCATTTCCTTTTTTCACCTACTCTAACTATACATGAAAAATTTAAGTACAAAGTTCCTAATTTTTACTTGAGTAGTACTAATTACAAGAATTCCAATTTTTTAAAAAAAAATTTTTTAATTTATTTATTTATGATAGTCACAGAGAGAGAGAGAGAGAGAGAGAGAGAGAGAGAGGCAGAGACACAGGCAGAGGGAGAAGCAGGCTCCATGCACCGGGAGCCCGATGTGTCGATCCCGGGTCTCCAGGATCGCGCCCTGGGCCAAAGGCAGGCGCCAAACCTCTGCGCCACCCAGGGATCCCAAGAATTCCAAATTTGAAACAATAGTTTTTGTTTAGACTTGAACATTCTAATTGGTGTCCTGTGCCCAGTATAGAAAAACATTTACACGTGTAAAGTACAGCCCAAGTACTCATTTTGTTCCTCTTCTGCAAAAATCTGCAGAAAATAAAAAGATCCAACCTTGAGGATTGACTGCTCTCCTCCAATAGAAACTAATTCTTCCACCTTTATATGCAAATAAAGTTAATGGGCCCACAAATTAGCCTCTCGCATAAGTCAGATACAGGACTTGGAGGTCACTCTCAGTTGCCCCTCTCCTCCACTCTCCTTCGCCAAGTTCTCTGAAATCTACGGCCTAAATCTCAAATCCATTCCTTCTTTTCCATCTTCAAAAGAGCACCAATATCAAAAGAACAGGTACATCACTTTTTAAACAACGGCATTCGTTTCCTGCAACTGGTCTCCTTGTCCAGTCTTGACTTTCTCTAACCTAATGTTTAAACAAAAGACTTTCTTAAGTGAGATACAGACAACATAAGAAAGTCTCCTACATTATAGGTATTTCATGAAACATGTTTGTAATAAAAATGGCATATTTACCCAGTTTATAGATTTCTTATTCCGTGTACCAAGTGAAATTTACACGGTGGACTGCAGTCAGAGAAGTCCAAAGGCCACCTAAGCCATCTTTTCCAAAATATTAACTGAATGTTATTTCCATTTTTAGAAGCTTTCAGTGGCTCCCCATTAACACAGAATAAAGTCTAAACTCTTTGAAGTGGAACTAGTTTGTCCATAAGAAGTTCCGCCCTTCTTCCTGGCCTCATGTCCTGGCACTCCTGTCAGTCCTGTCATTTTATGCTCCAGTCCTACCACCTTTGCACAGGCCATCCCTCTGCATATTTTTTCCTCTCCTTGATCTATACAGGAAATCCTGCTCATCCTTCAATATTTAGTTGAGATCTACTCCCCACTGCCTCTAAGTCCTGAGAGAACTAAGTTCACACCATTCACCCAAAGACTGACCTCTGTGCAGCCTCTCACACTGTTGACCAAAGCATCCTTTTGGAAATGCTCTCTTCCCTGTGTGACAGAATAAAAGCCAGGCTTTCATCCTACTCTTCTGGCTGCTTCTCTTCAGTCTACTCTTAGATGATGATGTTCCTAAAGTTTCTGTCCTAGGTCACCTTTATTTTCTCTACGTGCTTTAAATAATCTAATTTACTTCTATAGCATCAATTATCACATTTATGCCAAGGATCCTCAAATCTATTTCCAGCACAAACATATTTATGAAGTGCAAACCCATATATTCCGTTCTCTCTGAAACCATCCACTTCTTTCCTACTGCCCACAACCAGGTATAAACCATCATTATCTCCCACCTACACTAACTCCTTTAGCCTTGGGCCTACCCTTCTGCTCCCTTTCAATCCATTCTTCATTTTCTACACACTAGCCAGAGGCCTTGGGGGGGGGGGTGGTGGTGGGGGAAAGACGTGTCTGTGTGTGTGTGTGCATGTACATGAAGTCACTTCCCTATAGAAAACACATTAAAAGCTTCTCATTGTCCTTAAAGTTCAAAACCCTCAGCATTGCCCGTTATTTTCCAGTATGATCTGATCTTTGCCTACCTCCCTGCAGCCCCACCTCTCATCACACTCTCCTGCTGACAGTATGCACCAGCTGCATTTTAGGAACACTTTCTTACTTCCTCTTTTCTAGGTAATTCTTCATCCTTTCTCAGTCCTCAAAATAAACTCTCTCATCTTCTGGGAGATTATCTTTAATCCCACAGATTGGATTAAGACTCCTGACTCCTACCATAATGATGTATGTCCCTCACCTGTCAGCATATCCATTACCCTTTATTATGTGGACTTGTAATTGTTTGATCTCTCCTGATAGATTTTAGGATCTGAAAACAGAGGCCAAATTACTCTTACTCAACACTGTATGCCAAAAAAGGTACAATGCCAGCTAGTACTAACAGCTCTGCACCCCCAGGACAAAGAATCTGAATCAAGAGAAGTCGTGACCTTTGTAGCTTTCCTTCCATCTAGAGGCTGAAGTTTCACACACACAATCAGACTTCCTTAACGACTAAGGCAACTTCTCAGCAAACCCGAGGAAACCAAGCAGGTGGAGTCTACTGCCACTTTCCTTCTTGTGAGTGACTACTCATTGGGGTTTCTCACACCACCAATCCCAACGGGGAAAATGCGGCCGCATTCCCCTACTAGTGGCCTTAGTGGCTTAGCAAGAGGACCTCAGACTGGGAGACACAAGACCAGAAAGGGATGGAGTCCCTGTGTCCCCTACACAGACCAAGATGAGGTTTGGGCCGAAGCGAAGGACAAAGTTCTTTATTTCCCCACGTACCAAGCGAGGTGGAGCTGCCTCTGTGCGGTCCCGCCCGCCCCGGGACGCAGCCTGAGGAGGACGGTGGGACCCTGAACTGCACGGGAGCGTCCTTGGGATCGAGGACGCGTCTCTGCCTGCTGGGGAAGCTCCGGGCGTCCGAGGCGGCCGGCGGAGAAGTTGCAGCGGCGCCCCAGCGGGGTCGCTTGGTGCAGGGCTCACAGCCGGGGCCCGCACTCATGCTTGGGACCCGCAGCGCACGGTCCCCGGGCCGGCCGCGGGGAGAGCCTCATTCACTAACCCTGAGAGGGACGGACTGCGCCTCCTCCTCGGCGCCTCCAGGCACCATTCCCTCTCTGCCGCTGCCTGCTTCTGCAGTTGCTACTCCGCCGGCCTCCCGAGCCAAGCCCTAGCCAGTCGCCTGCCTTCCCTCTTCCACAGGCACCCCCACCTGCCTCAGGATGCGCCGCTTTGATTCTGGCTCGGTTCACTTTCCCACCACCGGAAGGCTGCCGTCAGGCGCTTCCGGTTTCCGGGACGTACACTGTCGCAAAGCGGAACTGCAAGGATTAGCGGGTACCGGCTCCCGGAAGGTCACCGTGTGAAGGAGGAAGGGGTAACCCGGGTCTCCCTGCTGTTTCAGGGGCGCAACGGCCGAGCAGACGAACCCGGCCTAAGGCGGTGGTGATAAGCAGACGGGCAATTTCCTGCGACACCATGGAGAGCGGCGGGGGAAGCGGGAACAAAACCACGGGGGGCTTGGCCGGCTTTTTCGGAGCCGGCGGGGCAAGTTACTCGCACGCGGATTTGGCCGGAGTCCCGCGTAAGTATCAGGCCTAGCTTGTGAACAGTTCTTACTGGTTCTTGCGACTCTTGCAGACGAAGAGCGTCCTCTGCCCTTTTGTTGGCTGGCGTTCACTCCTTTCGGTACCAGTGATGGAGTTAGTGTGTTCGCGCTGCCGCTCTTTCAACATTGAACGAGTTTTTGCAGCCGTGGATCGCCGAGCAGTTCTGTCCGACCTGGACTCGGGAGACGTTGCCTCTTTTCTTCCTTTCATATCCCAGCCTGGTGCCTTCTCTTTCCTCTCACACATTCCTTGTGCTTTGGGCTGTGTGCTTGACTCTAGATTAAGGGGTGAGCCTCGCTCTGCAAGTAAGTACATTCCAAATAGCTTGGAAATAACTTTTAAGCACGAAGTCTCGTGTTTCGAAACTGAAAGGTAGCCGTCAGGTCAAAGCATTTAATATTGAATATAGGCAAGAAAGAAATTTGAATCGTGCCACCTGGAGGAGCTGAGAAGTGAACTGCACTTCAAAAGAAGCCAGGTAAGAAAGGAAAAATACACGATCAAAAGTGCAGAAGCATGAATACCCTGCCTGTACCCTCGATCCTGTGAATACATCTTCCAGAAGTTTCAGGTTTTATAGGTATTCACCTGGATGAATAGAACGTGTTCAACTTATCCAGGTCTTTTATGCTCACGAACAAAAGAGCCCTAGTGCCATTTCTGTCAAAACTGAATCTGGAACACATTTTTCATATAATAAGTCTCCTGAGGTCTGGGTTTTGGAGCGCAAAGGGCACTCACTTCCTTAATGTGATAAGGATTGTTACATTAATTTGATTACGATTTTAAGGTAAATTAAGAGGTCGAGGGTGAACACCATTCATTGAGCACCGGGAATGGGCCAATGACTTTTCTGGGTGCCGGACTACCCATGGTTAAAGGAGAGATGATTGCTGCTTTCGTGGAGTTTACATCCTTTTGAAGTGAGCCAAGTAACACAAACACTTCAGTTAGTGTGATAAGTTTATGTAAAGGCATCAAAACAAGATCGAGAAATGATGAAAGCAGCACACCATTTTAGAATGGGTCAGGGAAAGCAGCTAGAGGATGTCGACGTTTGAACTATGACCTGAATACAATACAAATGCTAGGAATGGGGGGCAGGTGTACAGGGGAAAGAGGTTAGTCTAAATGCCCTGAGGAAAAAAAAAACACTTGACACGTTTAAAGGACAACTGATAGGCCTGTGTATCTACAAAGTTGCAAGGAAATTGGAGCCGTAGGAGGTCATGAGATCAGGAGGACGAGGAATGGCCATTAATGCAGTGTCTTATAAGCCGTGGTAAGGATTTAATCACTTTAGTTGTTATATAGGAAATGAATCAAAGGGACTAGAGCAAGTTAAGGAGTATGTTTAAGTAGATTCATACTGTAGCCTAGGTGAGATTTAGTGATTGGACTAAAACGATAGCAGTAAGGGTGGTGGTAAGGAACAGTTCAGGATGAATATTGAATATAGAATTAGTAGGGCTTTCAGTTGATGAAAAGACTAGAGTCATGGGTATTTCACAGATTTGTCAACAATCAACAGATGCGTAGGAATTCAAGAGTTAAATTTAGAATGTGAGAAAGTTATTTTCCCGGATAGATTTTTCCATTTTCAAAGTTGTGTGGGATTCAAATCTGGCTCTCTGAGAGTTTCCATTTTCTTTTGTCCTTACCCACATTCCTTTGGTGATAACCCAAGAATGCTCTACCCTGCCACAGCAAATGACCTTTGTCAGCAGCCGTCCATACTAAGATTTGAAGGAAGTACCTTAAAATATTTATGCATAATACGTAACCTGAGCACTGTTTTTCCCATGGGATTGATTGGTCTCTTATCAGTCTTATTTTGCAGTTTGTATAGATGTCAAGCATCCTTGTGATAGAGTAGAGGAAATTAGCTTTATAATCAACTTGAGCTATGCTTCCTGCTACTTTATTTGATCCACATTATTGCCAGTATCTTTTTGGTATGAGAGCCTGAGCCACTCATGCAAGACCTGGTTTGAGGACCTCAGGAGGAGACACCCCTAAAACTGCCACACAAGACAGGAGAAGCTTAGAAAAGCAGAGAATTTCATATTCAGTGACCCTGAAAATCAAAATTGCAAAACACAAGAAACAGCATAATTAACACTGAATGAAATAACTTTTTAAAATTTCATTGCAATGTGATGTTTTCTTTCTAGTGACTGGTATGAACCCTCTGTCTCCTTATTTAAATGTGGATCCACGATACCTGGTGCAGGTAAGATTAAGGCTAGTCCTTTTATGAATTTATTAGTTTGGTCATATATCTTACTGCTAAAAAAAAAAAAAAAAAAACAGCAGGTTCTTAGACTGACCAGATCTATGATACATATTTCTGGAGGCATTAACTCTGGTCTCCATTCACCCATTTTTATTTCCTTGGAAACTCTGGAGATTTGACTTGCATCTCCCTGATACTAATTAATTAATTCCCTTTAAAGGTTTTTTGGGGTCTCAGGTGGGGTTTTTTTTCTTTCCCATTTAAAGATATTAAATATTTTCCCGTTAAAAATTAAAATATAGGGATCCCTGGGTGGCGCAGCGGTTTGGCGCCTGTCTTTGGCCCAGGGCGCGATCCTGGAGACCCGGGATCGAATCCCACATCGGGCTCCCGGTGCATGGAGCCTGCTTCTGCCTCTGCCTCTCTCTCTTTCTCTCTCTGTGACTATCATAAATAAATAAAAATTAAAAAAAAATTTTTTTTTAAATTAAAATATACTAACAAAATTTACCATATTATCTATTTTTCAGTGTACTGTTCAGCTTTATTAACTACATTTATAATATTATGGAAGAATTACCACCTCCCATATCCAAAACTCATTTCATGATGTAAAACAAACTGTACCTATTAAAAAATAACTTCATTCTGCCATTCCATTCACCTATCCCATGGCAACCACCCTTCTGTTTCCTCTAATTTTGATAACTAAATACCTCAAATAGGTGGAATCATACAGTATTTGTCCTTTGTGATTGGCTTATTTCATTTAGCATACTGTTCTCAAGTTTCATCTATGTTATAGCATGTGTCAGAATTTCCTTCTTTTTAAGGCTGGATAAAATTAATCGAATAATATTCCATTTTGCTTATCTATTCCTCAGTCCCTGGATTGCTTCCATATTTTAGCTTTGTGAATACTGTTATGAACATTAGTGTACAAATGTCTCTTCCTGATCCTCCTTTTGATTCTTCTAATTATATATCCAGAAGTGAAATTACTGGATCATAGGGAAATTTTATATTATTGTCTGAGGAACTACCATTCTGTATTCCATAGCACTGTACCATTTTACATTCCCAAGAACTGCACAAAGGTTGCAATCCTCACCAACACTTGTTATTTTTTTTTTTAATCATAGCTATGCTAATGGGTAATGAGAGTGGTGGTCATTGTGATGTTGAGCATCTTTTTATAAGCTTATTGCCCGTTTTATACTTAGGAGAAATGTTTATATAAATCCATTATCCATTTTTTAATTGAATCTTTATTGTTGTTGAATCTAAGTTTTCCATATGTTCTGAATGTTAACTCCTTATCAGATCCATGATTTGCAAATATTTTCTCCCATCCTGTGGGTTACCTTTTTACTATTCTGATACTGTCTTTTGAGGCACAAAATTCTTTAAATTTTACAGAGGTCAGTTTTTCTCTTTTTTTCTTTTGTTGCCTGTGCCTTTATGGTCAGATCCAAGAAGTCATTGCCAAATCCAGTGTCACAAAACTTTTCCCCTATGTTATCTTCTAAGAGTTTTATGGTCTTAGATGTTGCATTTAGTTCAGATCCATTTAATTTTTGTATTAGGTTTTAGGTAATGATCTAAATTCATTTGATTACATAGATATCCAATTTTTAAAGCACTATTTGTTAAAAGAGTGTCTTTTCTCTTGGAATGTTCAAAATCATTGGATCAGGGACGCCTGGGTGACTCAGCAGTTGAGCATCTGCCTTTGGCTTAGGGCATCATCCTGGAGTCCCACATCAGGCTTCCTGCATGGAGCCTGCTTCTCCCTCTGCCTATGTCTCTGCATCTCTTTCTCTGCCTCTTAAGAATAAATAAATAAAATCTTTAAAAACAAAACAAAATCATTGGACCATATATGTGAGGATTTATTTCCAGGTTCTGTAATTTGTTTCATTGGTCTATATGTCTGTCTTTGTGTCAGCATCACACTTTTGATTACAGTAACCTTATGGTAAGTTTTGAAATCAGGAACATGATGATTTTTCTTCTTTTCTCTTTTTCTTTCTTTTTTTTTTTTTTTTTTTGTTCTTTTTCAAGATTGTTTTGGCTATTAGGGATTCATTGAGATTCTGTATTTATTATAGGATGGGTTTTTCTATTTGCAGAAATATCATTGGTATTTTGATAGGGATTGCATTGAATCTATAGATTCTTTTGAATAGTATTGACATCTTAACAGAATAAAGTCTTCGAACCCACATACATGGGGTATGTTTCCATATATTCAAGTCTTTAATTTCTTTTAAGAGGTTTTATGGTTTTCATTGTGTAAGACTTTCACCTCCTTGGTTAAGTTCATTCCTAAGTATTATTCCTTTTGGTGCTATTATAAAAGGAATTGCTTTTGTAATTTCTTTTTCAGATTGTTCGTTATTAGCACATGGAAATCCTTTTAATTTTTTTTCCTTTTTTTTTCCTTTTAATTTTTTGTGTTGATTTTTTTGTATCCTGCTACTTTGCTAAATTTATTAGATCTAATATATTTTCTTAGTGCCATGTGTAGGATTTTCTATGTATAAGATCATTTTATCTACAAAAATAAGAAATTTTGCTTCTTCCCTTCTGATTTGGATACCGTTTATTTCTTCTTGCCTAATTGCTGTGGCTAGAACATTTAGTACAAGTATCCTTCACTTTTTGAAATTCACATCATTCCACTTTTTTTTTTTTTTTTTTTTTTTTTTTTAATTTATGATAGTCACAGAGAGAGAGAGAGAGGCAGAGACACAGGCAGAGGGAGAAGCAGGCTCCATGCACCGGGAGCCCGATGTGGGATTCGATCCCGGGTCTCCAGGATCACGCCCTGGGCCAAAGGCAGGCGCCAAACCGCTGCGCCACCCAGGGATCCCACATCATTCCACTTTTATGAGAGACCTACATTATGTAGATCTGAATCTAGTACCTGTTTATGCTGGCCAAAAGAAATCAGAAGAGGATTTTTGCTTTTACCAAAAAAGTGAAAAGCAAAAATAGCATTCAGCATTTGCTCTGCAGTGAACTCTTCTTTGTTTTTTTTTAAATTTTTTTTAATTTTTATTTATTTATGATAGTCACACACACACACACACACAGAGAGAGAGGCAGAGACACAGGCAGAGGGAGAAGCAGGCTCCATGCACCGGAAGCCTGATGTGGGATTCGATCCCGGGTCTCCAGGATCGCACCCTGGGCCAAAGGCAGGCACCAAACCGCTGTGCCACCCAGGGATCCCTGCAGTGAACTCTTCTAATGGCACCTTTCAAGCTCCTTCCTGGGGGTCTACACTCAGCATTTCAGCATTAAGAGATCGCAGCTTTGAACTATGGAAGCGTCTGTGCTTTATCTTTGTGCATCTGATAGCAGGCTGTGTCCTAAAGTATGAGAAAAGCCTGAGAGGTTATCTTTTGGGTCTGGGAATACTCCATTTTTCCATGTAAGTTGATGAGAATTGCTTCTTCACATTATACCATTTTGACTTACAGAAGGTTTCATGGGAATGCTCTACTCATAGATAATCAGGGGAGGCTTGTACTATCTCGAACACAAGAGACAGAAATGGTTGTCCTTGCCTTTTCCTGATCTTGGAGGGAAAGTTTTTATCTTTTACCTTGGAATAAGATGTTCATTCTGGGCTTTCCTTATATGGCTTTTATTATGTTGCAGTAGTTTTCTTCCTAGTCCTAGTTTGTTGAATTTTTTTAGTCATAAAAGTGTGTTGGATTTTGTTAGATGCTTTTTTTTTTTTTTGTGCAGTAGTTGAGTGATCATGTGCTTTTTTTTTTTTTTTCCTTCTTTCAGAGTGGTGTATTATGTTGATCAGTTTTCATGTATTGGACCATCCTGCATAACTTGAATAAATCCCGCATGGTCATAGTTTGTAATCCTTTTAGTATGCTACTGAATTTGGTTTCCTAGTATTTTATTGAGAATTTTGTATCAGTGTTGATAGGAGATATTGGTCTGTAGTTTTCTTGTAGTGTCCTTGTCTGGCTTTGGTGTAAGAGTAATGCTGGCCTTAAACAAAGTATTGCCTCCACTTTAATTTTTGGAAAAGTTTAAAAAGAATTAGTGTTTTGTCAATGTCTGGTAGACTTCACTAGTGAAGTCATTAGGTCCAGGGCTTTTCTTTGTTTCTTTTTTGAGAGAGAGAGAGAACACAGGGTGGAGGTGGGGCAGAGGGAAAGGAGAGAAAATCTAAAGCAGGCTCCAAACCCCGCACAGAGTCTATGTGGGATTTAATCTCAACCCTAAAGTCATGATGAGCCAAAATCAAAAGTTGGACCCAAGTGCCTCTGTTGTGACAGTTTTTATTCCCGATTTCAGTCTTTTTACTAGTTAGTTATAGGTGTATTTGGATATTTTGTGTCTTGGTGAGTTTTGTATCTCTAGGAATTTATGTATTTCATCAAGGTTATCTAATTTGTTAGCATGCAGTCTTTCATGGTATTTTTAATTCTATAGAATCAATAGTGACTTTCATGTCTGATGTTAATATTTTGAGGTTTTTTTTTTTCTTCATTTAGCTAAAGGTTTTTCAATTTTGTTTCTTTTCAAAGAACCAACTTTTGGGTTCATTGATTTTTTTTTTCTCTACTGTTTACTTTTTTATTTTTATCTTCTCTCATCTTTATTATGTCCTTCTGCTAGCTTTAGGTTTAGTTTCCACTTTTTCTAGTTCCTTATGTTGCAGAGTTAGGTGTTTTTTTTTTTTTTAAAGTTAGGTGGTTTATTTGAGATCTCTGATTTTTTTTTAAGATTTTATTTATTTATTCATAAAAGACACAGGAGAGAGGCAGAGACACAGATAGAGGGAGAAGCAGGCTCCCTGCGGGGTGCCCGATGCAGCACTCAATCCCAGGACCTGGGATCATGACCTAAGCTGAAGGCAGACGCTAAACCACTGAGCTACCCAAGCGTCCCTCTCTGATTTTTTTTTTTTAATAAGCATTTATAGCTCTGAATTTTCCCCTTAGCACTGCTTTGACTGGATC